CAAGGCACGACTGCAGTAGAGTGATAGAATGAATTCTATTATTTTATTGAATATAACCCTATATATATATGTTCTTGAGAATTAAGAAAAAAAAAAAACCTATAATTAATTACTTATAGGTATACTTTACTAGTCTACTCTTTAACATAACTTTGTCCTAGTTTCACATAATATACACTTTCAGATACTCCCCCTCAAACTAGTAAATAGACATTTCTCAACTTGGTAATGATTATCTGGAATACTAGAGTGTTTAAGTCTTAAGTAAAAAAATCTGTAAATTAAGAGTTGTTGCATATCACAATATTGTTTAGTTTCTCTTTGATAAAATGTTTGTCAACTTCAATGTATTTTGTCTTATCGTGTTATACTAGATTGTGAGCAAATTCGATTGCCAATTTGTTGTTATAGTAGAGTCGCATGGGTTCATCCCCTTTGATCTTTAGATCTTTCAAAATTATCTTCAACTATAGTAATTCACATGTTCGCTAAGCTATTGCCTGGAATTTTGACTATGCACTGGACCTTATTACTAAATTCTACTTCTTGCATCTCCATGTTTCTAGATTTTCTCCCATGAAGATACAATAGTCAATAATAAATATTATGTCCACTAATGATCCCACATAGTTTATGTCAATGTGCTTTAAGAAGTAACTTGTTATGTCTCTTGAACGTGATACCTTTTCCAGGTATCTCTTTCAGGTGGTGCAGTACTTGATATGTTATTTGTAAATGTACTTCTTTAGGATTGTGCATAAATTGGTTTATCACACTTGATGCATAGATTATGTCTGATCTTGTGTATGACACATATCAGTCTTCCAACCAGTCTCTAATAAATTTTCTTGTTTACTTTTGTGTCTTCCTCTGCTAATCCTAGTTTGTGGTTAGGAACAATCTGTATGCTGGTAGGTTTACGTACCAATTTATCTATATCCTTTCAGTAAGTTATTAATATGCTTCTACCATGAGATGAAAATCCCGGCTTTCAAATGATCTACTTCAATCCCAAAAAAATATCTTAATTTTCTCAATTATTTGATCTCAAATTCCTTGTCTAGGCATTATTTGAGTACGGACCTTCTGTTTTCATCATCATTTATCATAATAGTATTATCAACATATATGAGTTTGAGTGTTTGATGAACAGAGTATAGTCTCCCTGATTTTGTTTTTTGTTTTTTTTGTAGCATTACTTTTGCAAATCTTCCAAAGTATACTTTGGGTGATTATTTGAGTCCGTAGAGTATCTTTTTTAGCCTACAGACATTACTTGCTCCTACTTCTTTCATAAATCTTAGTAGGATTTCCATATAAGTTTCTTCTTGCATGTTTTAATGCAAAAAGACATTCTTGTAGATCAAATTGTTGTAGTTGTTAGTTAAAGTTGGCACCTAGGGACAATAAGACTTGCAAACTATTCATTCTGGCAACGAATGTGAATGTCTCTTGATATGCATAACAAATTATAGTTTTTTGCGCAAAAATGTAAGCGATATCTATAGTGAGTGAAAAACGATGATAATTTACTATATATAACTGATTAAGTATATATTAACCAAGTTTCCATGCATTAACCAATTTAATATCTTCTTACTAAAGCTAACAGAGTTTATTAAAATGGTTCTCTTCTAGATCCTTGAGGACCAAACCTAAAGCTCGCAATGGCCCTATTAACAAGTTGCCAAGCCATAGAATTTGGAGTCGTGTACTGAATAACTTGATACTGCTTCATTTTATATGCCAGAAATAATGGTTACCAAATTTGTATATGTTATATGGGTCTTGAAAAACATAGTGCATGGGGTTTGAAGTATGTGGGCTTTGAAGAATGTCATTGAACCTCACCCATCAAGAACGGTGGGGATGTTAATTTAAGTAGGGTTAGCAACGAAATCCGTTCAAATTGTTAAACTGAAAGTCAAGATCGAGTTCAAGTCTAAAAGGTTCAGTTATTTAAATGAGCTGAACGCGAGCTTGAAAGCATCTGGATTAAGAGCCCATGAACATTGTTTATTTATTTAATAACAAAACTAAATATATTCTTAATATTAGGTTAAAATATTTAATATATAATATATTTTGGAGATTATTATCTTTTAATTAGATATTAAATATTTTTTTCAAATAAAAAAAGTATAATTGGGAAATTATATATTAAATATATTTGCAAAAATTTAAATAAAATCTTGTAAAGCATATCAAACGAGCTCATTATAAAGCTTATTGTGTTCAAGTTCATATAGTTTGAGCTTATTCAAGTTTGAGCTTGATTTTGTGTTCATCTAAACTTTGCTTCTTATCAAACTTCTTCTAAATCATGTTCAAATAAATGAATTGAGTTTAAGCCTAAAAGAAGATTTAAGTCAATCTTTAAATCAAGCTCAACCCTTACTATATTAAAAAGAAAATGAAATTTAAATACCCAGGTATTCGATTGGGTGCAGTTTGTTGCCATCCCTAGTCATGAGGCTAGGCTCATTTTTGAGGAATAGTATTCTTGATTGCAATGAATTTGTTAGTTGTCTGATCATTCTCCTAAATCCCCATAATTTAGAATTTGAGATTGATTATGGTCATACCAAAGGATTTGATATGAGTATTATTTAGGAACTTTGTTCCCTTCACTAATCAATCCCCAGGATCATCCCTACCCTGTATCTTAGTAAATGCTAATACTCTTTCGTAGATAGTTTGATAATAACCGATGACTTGATTGAATTTAGTTATTATGCCATATTTGTTGGAAGACTAAGTTTGACGTGGTTATTGTGGATTGCTCATATATTGCAGTTGGAAGTTGTGAAATCCTTCAATGATTCAGAGGGACCCCAGTGGAAGCATTCACTCTTCGGAAATCCAAATGATCCAGAAACTTTAAGGTTTATTTTATCTAGATATGGCTAACTAACATTTCAAAGAGATTCACTTCCTATTCTTATAATGCATGAAAGTATTGTTGGATAGTTTGACAGTCTCCTTTTTCTTCCATTATTTTGTTTTTGAAGAAGCCATGTTTTAGTCTTTTTTTTTTTCTTTTCAGGTTTGTTTTTAGTGCTTGCCCTTCAGATATAATAACACATTTGTATTTTTTTCTTTCACCTCTCCCGCAGCGGATAGATTCATTCTGTCATTGATTTTCCCCCCTATTTTTTGTGATTATTCTAACATGGATATTGACATGAAAGTTTCAGTTTTTTTCCATTTTTTCTTTGGATGTCCAAACAAGGGAAACGAACTTTTCAACTCTTAATTTTTCAGCTGTCATTTCTTTCGTTCTATTATAACATGAGTATCCACTAAAAAGGTCTTGGTGACATTCTCCACGTTTACTCTTCTGGAAGTGGAAAGGAAGATGAAGGGGAATAATTCCTAGAAAAGAGAGTAGGGAAAGAACTGATTGTCTGCTAACTTTGCAGTCTGTGATTGTTGCTTTGCAGGAGGAGGTCTGAAATTGCTGAGACTCTTGTTGAGAAGAATTTTGACTTGGCTTTCCAAGTCATCTATGAATTTAATCTTCCAGGTGATTCTCCACATAAAATTCTGCTGTCTATTTTGTCCCTCATATGTAATTAACGCCTTTCAATTATTCATTTCTTCTTGTATTTTGGGGATCTTTTCTTCTACGGGACAGCTGTTGACATATATGCTGGTGTTGCTGCATCACTTGCTGAAAGGAAGAAAGGTAGTCAGTTAACAGAGTTCTTCAGAAACATAAAGGGAACTATAGATGATGATGATTGGGACCAGGTATAATGATGCCTTCCCTTTTTTTTCTTTATATGTTTTAAGGTTTCAAGGGAACATCGTAAAATCTCGGAAACATGGAAAAAAAAAGTTACAATTAATTATATATACAGCTACTCTAATTATATATGATTTACTCTAATTAAACATAATATAAACTTTCCAACAATCCCCCTCAAGCTGGTAAGAGTAATTATTTAGACCCTGGATTACTAAAACCTTAGTCAACATATCTGCAAAAAGAGAGTTGGTGGGTAAGTAAGATGTACATATCAAGCCATTGCCTAGTATTTTTCTTTTGATAAAATGTTTGTTAACTCCAATATATTTTGTCCTGTCATGTTTTATTGAATTGTGAGTAGTACTGATCATTGATCTTTGTCAAAGTAGGGTCTCATCTGACCATCTCGTTTGATCTTTAGGTCTCTTGGAATCTCTTTAACTATTGGAATCTCTTTAACTATAGTAACTCAGACATTCCTTAAGCTATTGCTTGAAATTTTGACTTTGAACCAGTCTTTGCTACTACATTTTGCTTCTTTCTTCTTCATGTGACTAGATTTTCTTCAAGAAAGATACAATAAGCAATAGTGGATCTTTTGGCCACTATTGATCCGTATAATCTGCGTCAATATAGGCTTCAAGAAGTAACCTGATTTTTCTCCTGAACATAATACATTTTTTTGGTGTCCCCTGTTGGTAGTGTAGCTCTCGGTTGTTGCCTAATAAATGTACTTCTTTAGGGTTTTGTACTAATTGACTCATCACATTTACTGCATAGGTAATATCTGGTTTTATGTGTGATAAGTATATCAAACTTTATTAGTTTTTGGTACATCTCTTTGTTGACTTCTGTGTCTTCCTCTACTAGTACCAGTTTATAGTTGGCATTAATCATTTGCTAGTAGGTTTGCATGCTTGCTTTCCTGTGTCCTTCAGTAGATTACTTATATACTTTTACTGTGAAGTGGAAATTCTAGTTTTTGAATGAGTCACTTCTATTCTAAGGGAATAGTTTGACTTTTCTAATTCTTCTATCTCAAATTTTTTGGTTAGGCATTGTTTAAGCACTAATCTCTACTTTTCATTATCACTTGTCATAAAAGTATCATCAAAGTACACCAGAAGAGCTGTAACTCCCCATGAGTCTTAATGTTTGATTAACAGGATGTAGTCTCCCAGGTCTACTTATACCCCATTGCTAGCATTTCTTTTGCAACCTTCCAAATCATGCTATTGACGATTGCTTAAGTCTATAAAGTACTATTTTTAATGTACATACTTTATTCGGTCCTGTCTATTTGGTAAATCCTGCTAGAATTTTCATATAAATTTTTTCTCACAAATCTTCATGCAAAAAAGTATTATTTACATCAAATTACTCTAGTTTTCAATCAAAGCTGATAGCTAGTGACAATAAGACTTGCACTATATTCATTTTGGCAACTGGTGCAAAAGCTGATTGTCGAGTCTTTTTTGTCCCCAAGCTTTAAAGGTTGGATCCTTAGGTTTTGGTTTGGTGCCAAGAAGGCGACTGAGTTTCCCTTTTCCCTTTAAGGTGGTCTGAATCAATTGTGACCAATTCAAATGATCCTTCTTAGGAAAGTAGTAAACAACCTGGATTGATTGAAAAATTCATTATTATTTGGTGTTGGATTTCCCATGGTGGAATTTGTATCAGTGATGTGGGACTTTACTTCCAACATGATTTAAACTTTTGGGGAAATTAAAGGCAAACAAGAGGTAATAATAAGGAGATTACTAGCTGAATTTTCCAAGCTATTTGCGGCAAAGGCTGAGCACAAGAGGGCTGTGCGCATTAGTGCCTGGCTGTGCAGGGAGGCGCAGCTGTGTACATCAG